TGTAATACCAACACGACAACATGTAATGTTAGGGCAACAAATCTGACTTAAAGATCTCATTCAATTAGGGCACCAAATCTAATTAAAAGATCATATTTAATTAGGGCACCAAATCTAACTTAAAGATCACATTTAATTAGGGCATTAAGTTCGATTCATTTTACACGACCAACTTATTATTTATTTGCTAAGATCATCCACCCTTCATTAAAACGGGGCTAACAGAAACAGGTAAACTCTACTTCATCTACCCTATTGACCTTTTGAAATAATTACTACTCACTGTTTAAAAAAATTTTGTGTCTTTAAATCAAATTGTTCTACATTAGTTTCCATCAGTTAAAAAGTTTCCTCAAAGATTTAGTCTACGAATGTACATTTCAGCTCTAAACCAGAAAAACCTTAAAATTACTGTTTTAAAATTCATTTGATGTCATTGATTCATGTAAAACTTTTTTTTTAGAAACAAATTAAAGTCTAGATATGTCTTTTTAACAAATGAATATTAAATTGACACAAAGAAGGTACTAAATTCAAGTTTCTTAGGTAGTTTTCTTATTAATTGTTACTCCCCTTAGACCGTAATTTTTTAAGCTTTATTAAATTACTTTATTTTGTTTAAAAATTTAATGTCATGAGAAGACAACTGTTATAAATATATTTTTTAATTAAGCATCTTTTGGGTTTTTTTATGTACCCATATTTTGATATCGAAAGACAAAATAAAGTCACACTTAAAAGTTTTGGTTGTCATAAAGTCAAACTTAAAAGTTTTGGTTGCGATAAAATTAACACAAATGTGAGAATACATAACTTTTTTTACACAAAAAAATACAAACAAACCAAATTTGATTCAAATGTATGCTTTTCTACAAAGGTGTACGTTACTACGTTTTTTTATTTATTGCATTTTAAATTCAAAATTTTACGCAAAATAATATACCAAATAAGTGATGACGCTACATAAACACACATATATTCTAACAAACAGAACAAGTTAGTTATTGTAATGGTTTATTCATGTAAATTTATGTGTGAAAATGACTTACAAAACGTCAGGGATTTGAATTGTGGAAAATGTTGGAAAAAAAGAAATTGAAAAAAAAAACCGATGAAGACTAGGAAATGGCACTGTAATGAATTTATTACATAAAACTATAAAATAGCTTCTATAAATAAAGTTTGTAAAGGGCATCTAACCTTGTGGACTATGGACCTTAATAGCTGCATTACACTTTACAGGTTTTTATTTGCCTGATGTACAATGTTTGTGTTAAAACACTAATTCAGTTACAAAGACCCATAACTACACTGTATTAGAAAAACATTACAAATGTAGAAAACCATTATAGCCAGGTAGTTTGCGGGATAAGAATTTAAAGTCATTCAATAAAGTTTGTCTGATTGATGATTACTATTGAGATCTATTTACATACATTAATATAAAGTAAGTTAAAAACAAAATAAAGCATTTTTCACATACTATGAGCGTAAAGCACATGCAACAAATCCCCATGGATATGGTGTCGTGTTGAGTGTCTTAGTCAATGTGAATTCAGTGGCTTCGTTAGGTCGGTTGTCACCCGGTGCGGCACCTCTTGGTGTCATCGCCCCCCCCCCCCCCCTCGAAATTAGAAAAATTATGGGCTATAATATATATATATATATATATATATATATATATATATATATATATATATATATATATATATATATATATATATATATATATATATATATAATACACTTAGTTTCAGCCCGCCCCCCCCACTCCTATTTTGTCAAATCGCGTGAATTTGTGAACACATTATTTTTATTCAAAACGAACAAAGCAACATTGTACCCCCCCCCCCTCCCACCAACTTGTTAATTTAAAAAGTAAAAGACTTTTAAAAATCCAATTAATCATTTTTCTTCTATATAATTTGCAAAGTTTTTGTTTTGGTGTCAAACCCCAATTGCGGTCCACCCCCCCCCCCCCCACCCGTATGTGATAACAATTAGATATCTGACATTGTGTGATAATAATTAGATATCTGACTTTATGTCATAAAAATTAGATATTTCACTTTGTGTGACATTAAACAAAATTACATGGACACTATTTTACATTATTTAAAGGTACATTATCCATGTTTCTTAAAGATATTTTCTATTTCCATTGTTACTTCCATTTGACCGCTAACAGCAATGTTTTATCCCACCTACTCGTTGGTTCAAGCTTTTATGACGCGACATGAAAAATTGTTTTTGTTTAATATGTCCAATGGTTTTTAAAATATCCATACGTTGATATAATTTTCTTTATAGACCACTTAAGACCAAAATAACAGAAAGATGTTTGTAGAAGTTCAGGTTGATATTGAAACAATTAAAAGATGTGAAAATTAATTCATATTCAATTCACTGTTACATTTTATAGATCCAAAATTTAGCGTCAATATTGAAAGTAAAAAAGTAAAGTTCCCTTTCAAACGTGGCGGTCTACGGGGAAGGTGAAGTAGAGTTCACTTGTTTTTGTGACCTCGGCATATGAAGGAATAATGTGGTCAGTAATATGACTAGCCGCCTTTACTTTTCCTAACATGAGTCAGGTACCCATCAGAGCTGGGTGGACTCATGGACGTTCTACAGACCATGTTCGAACTCGAGACTTACGGGATAGCAGTCCAGCTCACTACCACTAGGCCACTCCGTCCCTTTAATATTCGGAGTCGCTAGATCCAAACTTTAGCGTGAATATTGTCGCTAGATCCAAACTTTAGCGTCAATATTGAGAGTCGCTAGATCCAAACTTTAGCGTCAATATTGAGAGTCGCTAGATCCCAACTTTAGCGTCAATATTGAGAGTCGCTAGATCCCAACTTTAGCGTCAATATTGAGAGTCGATCAATACAAACTTTAACGACAATATACAATATACAATATTTAAGTACAAACAGAAACAAAAATGAAAACGAGTTGATTTAAAACTGTTTATTTACGTTTATATTTACAACAAAATTGTGACAATTTTTTCTCCACTCCCAATCAAACAATCAACAACTTTTTCTCTGATAAAAATAACGAGATAATTAATTAAAATTTTAATAAAGCTCTACAATAATGTCAAGAAATATTTTAAGAGCAGACATTCAACAGGCGCCATGTTTGTTTACATTCTAGAAAAGACAGACATTCAACAGGCGCCATGTTTGTTTACATTCTAGAAAAGACAGACATTCAACAGGCGCCATGTTTGTTTACATTCTAGAAAAGACAGACATTCAACAGGCGCCATGTTTGTTTACATTCTAGAAAAGACAGACATCCAACAGACGCCATGTTTGTTTACATTCTAGAATAGACAGACATCCAACAGGCGCCATGTTTGTTTACATTCTATACAAGAGCAGACAACTACAAGTCTTATTCCCGCCACAGCCCACTATAATTTAATCCACCAGAGTTAGCTCCACTGTGGGGATGTTCAGACCTCCAGCCCCACCCCAGTATGTAGACCTGAGCCCCACTGCTACCTGGGCAGGTGGACGTGTTGTACGTATACCTGGTCTGTCTACCCCTCACCACCTGCCTGTCCACCCAGTGACCTACAGAGACCTGCTTAGAACAGCCATGAGGATGTGACACTATAATGGTCAGCCTGTCCACATCTAAACGACTCTTGTATTTGTCCCTCACTTTATCATGTAGACCAATAAACCGCCACTCCATCTCCTCCAGTTTACCACCTACATCTACGTCATGTGTCACACAATACAACACACACGTGTCTTTCTCAGTGTCTGACCCACCCACCTTCCACCCATAAATCTTGACCACTGGACTTGTATCATCATCAAACCACAACCTACAGCTGGACTGTCTCGCCTCACTTGAATCAAAAACCACATGTCTGGCTGTCGACACATAAACCTTCCACCACACTTTGCTGGGTGTGTCCGAGTGGTCACATTCAGGACATGGACAAGTACTGTTGCCGTCCATCCCCTCTGTGAACTTGATCACCAGCCCCACCCTCCCAGTCCCTGTCCTCAGTGAGTTCTGTCCCCTGGTGTTGTAGCAAGGATATGGATCTTGAGTGTCTGGTACAAACTCTGGTCTGTCTGGACTGGTCAACTTAACGGCTATCCTGACAGTTAGGTCAGCCAGGGCTTTTGTGAGGTCACACAAATCGTTGTCATGGTAACCAGAAGGAAAATGTTCAAGACTTAACTGATTTACAGGTACAAAGTTTTTATGGCCAGGATTTTTCTTGCAGTTTGCCAGGTGTGTGTGTAGATCTACCTCACCTTGACCTTTAAGACATTCTTGTACTTCATGTGTACCTGTACAGGTAAACAAAACAATTTTATTACTGTGAACATTTCATTAGCCGTTAAACTTTGACAAACATAAAACATGAAAACTATCTACAACCTCCAACTGTCACAACCACCTCAACCATCACCATCATGCAATTAAAGCAACACAAGGACTTCATCAGTGCAGAAACTTTCACTAGCCTCATTGATAACATTTTGTATTTGATGCATGCATTTTCTATAGAAATAGCAAACAAATGGACATTACTTGTAAAATATCTTGATAAGTCTTTTCCACTGGGCATACTGTTGTGGTCATCTAGACTATCCTCTCCACTGGCCATACTGTTGCGGTCATTTAGACCTCTTGTAGTCGTTGATGAGTTACCTATATCTGTAAAGAAATTATGGTGATCAGATTAAATGGCTTATGGTTTGTTTTGGTTTTTAAGATTCAAAACGACACAATTTAATGAAAATATAATTTTTAGAGATAGAAACCCTAACTGAAAAATAAAGACAGCCATTGGCCATTCAAGAGAAACACAATCCTACATGCTGGTCAGATTTAGAAGATAATGGTTAAATAGCCACGGGTCAATGATGTGGAAAACAGAATACAGCATGAGGGTCATCTTTAGAAGATTATGGTTAAATACATTCTTAGACCAACATACAACATATAATGGAACTGACCTTTGAACTCCCCACTTGACTTTAACACCATACAGCACACACCACTATGGAAGATCCTTCAGGCTCTGGAGAGAGAAAATTATAGTGAAACTGTCATTAGCATAGAACTACAGAATGACAACATTTATGGTGGAACTGTCATTAGCATAGAACTACAGAATGACAACATTAATGATGGAACTGTCATTAGCATAGAACTACAGAATGACAACATTTATCTTGGAACTGTCATTAGCATAGAACTACAGAATGAGAATATTTATGATGGAACTGTCATTACTAGAGAATGCCGACATTTATTGTGGAATTGTCATTAGCATAAAACTAGAGAATGACAACATTTATGATGGAACTGTCATTAGCTTAGAACTACAGAATACCAACATTTATTGTGGAACTGTAATTAGCATAATGATACTTTATATTTATTATGGAACTGTCTGTAATAAGCATAGAACTACAGAATGACAACAATGTCTAATTACTGTTACAAATGTTAGCACAGGGTCCACCACTTAAAGACCTGAAAAAAAGAGCAATAATTTCCCCAATAAATTTTAATTTTATCTAGATCTAGAATCTAGATCTAATTTAATTTAGGATTAGTTCTAGTTTTGCTGCTATTTTTTCTATGCATCATTGTAAAAGATGATTTTCTCTTATATCTATAACTTTAGAGACTATATTTCCTTTAATATAGAATCTAGATCTATTTAATAAAATAATAAACCATGTCAAAACGTGGAGAATTTTGTAGAACGAGAATCTAGAGTTGTACTTCTCCACCTTTCGCTCTAGATTTAGCTTCTGCTAGCTGGAGTCTAGACGTTTATCTAAAGTCTAGAATACTCTAGATTTAATTAATTTTTAGCACTAGATCTAAAAGCAGCAAAACTGAACTAAATATACTTAATATAGCGTTCGAGATCTAGATCTGTGTTGAGACCTGACACATTGGGTTCAAAAGTTGAGACCAAATGTAACGCAAGCAAGAACCAACAGTCCTAGATTTACTATCGCTAGCAGAAATGAAGATCGGCTTTCGATAGCCAGAACAATTGTAATTTTTATTGCCATAAACAGCAATAAAGCAGCCAAATTATAAAGTTTTGTAGAATAATTTCAACTTCAACACATAGCCTACATAAGTAAAATAAGAAGTGACGTGTCAATGTGGGAAATGGGGCGATGCCGCTCCAGTCCCAAGGCCGTCATTACTAGCTTGTCAACTTTAATAATGTGTTCTGTGGTAAAAAAAAAAAAGGCCCTATTGGAAATTGGTGATTAAAGTGCTCTTTAAATATATTATTCTTGATAAAATTGTATCTCATACCTGGGTTAACAGTCATAAGGATAATTTATAATTTATTTGGTTGTGGCCCCTGTGAGACCGCAATTGTTGAAATTATTTTTTACGAGCCGACCCGCGGCGTATTATACGCCGCTATTTAGTTGATTTATTTTCTACTTTTCATTAATTCATAATTTGTGAATTCGACAGTACCAATGCCGCCACTGAAAATATTTGCTTTAAAACACTAACCCCCCTCCTTTCCCCTAACCCCGACCCTACACCCCCCCGTGAAAGCAGCCTCCTCTTAGTTACCTCCTGTAAGTTTAAAGTCGGTTCAAACTAAATTAGCTGCCCCTAATAGCCGTCACTAAACCCGGCTGTACGGTTTGTAAACATTAACGTGACCACAGCTCAGCAGATCATGTGGGGGTGGGGTAGGGTGATAGTGATAGAGAGAAAGAGAGGGGACTGTAAGGAGGCGCTTGCAGCTTGTTTTCTAACGGCTCGCAGAGGAGAATTATATATATAGATGCTCTTCTGTGAGCGATTTCTACCAGTGTTTTCATGTCATGTGACCTCTGGGACTCTGGGTAGTTGTACCTGTGTCCGCGGCATTCAAACCCCAGGCTGTGGATGGCAAGGACCGTTCAGTTGTTTAACTTGATTATGTACACCTAATGATGGGCTATATGCCGTGTATGGTTAACCCGGTTATGTACACCTAATGAAGGGCGAATTGCCGTGTATGGTTAACTCGGTTATGTACACCTAATGAAAGGCTATATGCCGTGTATGTTTAACTTGGTTATGTAGACCTAATGAAGGGCTATATGTCGTGTATGGTTAACTTGGATATGTAGACCTAATGAAGGGCTATATGTCGTGTATGGTTAACTTGGTTATGTAGACCTAATGAAGGGCTATATGCCGTGTATGGTTAACTTGGTTATGTAGACCTAATGAAGGGCTATATATCGTGTATGGTTAACTTGGTTATGTACACCTAATTAAGGGCTATATGCCGTGTATGGTTAACTTGGTTATGTAGACCTAATGAAGGGCTATATGTCGTGTATGGTTAACTTGGTTATGTAGACCTAATGAAGGGCTATATGCCGTGTATGGTTAACTTGGTTATGTAGACCTAATGAAGGGCTATATGTCGTGTATGGTTAACTTGGTTATATATACCTAATGAAGGGCTATATGTCGTGTATGGTTAACTTGGTTATGTAGACCTAATGAAGGGCTATATGTCGTGTAAGGTTAACTTGGTTATGTAGACCTAATGAAGGGCTATATGCCGTGTATGGTTAACTTGGTTATGTAGACCTAATGAAGGGTTATATGTCGTGTATGGTTAACTTGGTTATGTAGACCTAATGAAGGGCTATATGCCGTGTATGGTTAACTTGGTTATGTAGACCTAATGAAGGGCTTTATGCCGTGTATGGTTAACTTGGTTATGTAGACCTAATGAAGGGCTATATGCCGTGTATGGTTATGCAGACCTAATGAAGGGCTATATGCCGTGTATGGTTAACTTGGTTATGTAGACCTAATGAAGGGCTTTATGTCGTGTATGGTTAACTTGGTTATGTAGACCTAATGAAGGGCTATATGCCGTGTATGGTTAACTTGGTTATATAGACCTAATGAAGGGCTATATGTCGTGTATGGTTAACTTGGTTATGTAGACCTAATGAAGGGTTATATGCCGTGTATGGTTAACTTGGTTATGTAGACCTAATGAAGGGCTATATGTCGTGTATGGTTAACTTGGTTATGTAAACCTAATGAAGGGCTATATGCCGTGTATGGTTAACTTGGTTATGTAGACCTAATGAAGGGCTATATGCCGTGTATGGTTAACTTGGTTATGTAAACCTAATGAAGGGCTATATGTCGTGTATGGTTAACTTGGTTATGTAGACCTAATGAAGGGCTATATGTCGTGTATGGTTAACTTGGTTATGTAGACCTAATGAAGGGCTATATGCCGTGTATGGTTAACTTGGTTATGTAGACCTAATGAAGGGCTATATGCCGTGTATGGTTAACTTGGTTATGTAGACCTAATGAAGGGCTATATGTCGTGTATGGTTAACTTGGTTATGTAGACCTAATGAAGGTCTATATGTCGTGTATGGTTATGTAGACCTAATGAAGGGCTATATGTCGTGTATGGTTAACTTGGTTATGTAGACCTAATGAAGGGCTATATGCCGTGTATGGTTAACTCGGTTATGTAGACCTAATGAAGGTATTGTACCTTATATTTATATTTGAACGAATTAAGTACGATCTTGTTTGTCTAGCTTAAACAGGACTGGCTACTAGAAAATCACAAGGTAAAATTATTTGACTTTACACAGAACTCAGAAGACGTCATATTAATATTATGTTAAACATTTAAATCAAGTTAGCTGACAGCTTATTATGTACGTTGGTACATGAACATGTATACTTATCTATGTTTATAACCATCTTTACAACTGTATCTATAGCGACATTAACATGAATATACTTCATACTGGGACCTGTACACACACACACACACGCACATACACACACATGCGGACATACTCATGCAAAAAAATGTATGTAATCTTTTTACAGAGAAAATACAAATTAATCAATAATGTCTGTTTGTTTTTTTTTTAACTTGGTTATGTAGACCTAATGAAGGGCTTTATGTCGTGTATGGTTAACTTGGTTATGTAGACCTAATGAAGGGCTATATGCCGTGTATGGTTAACTTGGTTATATAGACCTAATGAAGGGCTATATGTCGTGTATGGTTAACTTGGTTATGTAGACCTAATGAAGGGTTATATGCCGTGTATGGTTAACTTGGTTATGTAGACCTAATGAAGGGCTATATGTCGTGTATGGTTAACTTGGTTATGTAAACCTAATGAAGGGCTATATGCCGTGTATGGTTAACTTGGTTATGTAGACCTAATGAAGGGCTATATGCCGTGTATGGTTAACTTGGTTATGTAAACCTAATGAAGGGCTATATGCCGTGTATGGTTAACTTGGTTATGTAGACCTAATGAAGGGCTATATGTCGTGTATGGTTAACTTGGTTATGTAGACCTAATGAAGGGCTATATGCCGTGTATGGTTAACTTGGTTATGTAGACCTAATGAAGGGCTATATGCCGTGTATGGTTAACTTGGTTATGTAGACCTAATGAAGGGCTATATGTCGTGTATGGTTAACTTGGTTATGTAGACCTAATGAAGGGCTATATGTCGTGTATGGTTAACTTGGTTATGTAGACCTAATGAAGGGCTATATGCCGTGTATGGTTAACTTGGTTATGTAGACCTAATGAAGGGCTATATGTCGTGTATGGTTAACTTGGTTATGTAGACCTAATGAAGGGCTATATGCCGTGTATGGTTAACTTGGTTATGTAGACCTAATGAAGGGCTATATGCCGTGTATGGTTAACTTGGTTATGTACACCTAATGAAGGGCTATATGCCGTGTATGGTTAACTTGGTTATGTAGACCTAATGAAGGGCTATATGCCGTGTATGGTTAACTTGGTTATGTAGACCTAATGAAGGGCTATATGTCGTGTATGGTTAACTTGGTTATGTAGACCTAATGAAGGGCTATATGTCGTGTATGGTTAACTTGGTTATGTAGACCTAATGAAGGGCTATATGTCGTGTATGGTTAACTTGGTTATGTAGACCTAATGAAGGGCTATATGTTATGTATGGTTAACTTGGTTATGTAGACCTAATGAAGGG